TTTTTTTTGAGAGGTTTTTGCTATAGGGCGCGTGCGCTCACCAGACAGACAGAGACAGACAGAGACAGAAAGAGAGAAATCACCCCCCAGGGGGGATGGTCACGCTGCAGTCCCTTCTCCTCCATTCTCCTCTCAGGATCTTGGGCACGCACGCACACGCACCCAGCGTGAGTTTTAAGCCACTGGGTCTCGGACGTGAACCGCAGTCGACTACGTGGGAGTCCAGTGACATAGCCATTACGCTAACTGCTGGTTCCCTGAAATTTCAGTTTTGAAAGGCGAGGCTTCACATCGACCAGTTAAAGTGTTCTGATTCGAACGGTGAACAGTTGGCATAAACGAGTATGCTTCTTGTAGGCAAGACAGATGTGAAAGAACTGCAAAGGATGCTATGGTGGTTGGCATGTACTGCCCCCTTTATGTGTGGAGCACTTTTCTTCTTTCAGTTTCTGATTCCCAGTGAAGGAAGTAGTGCTGACTTACCATACGCTGGCCAGCGCACTAGGTTACGGAGGAGAGAGAACAGAGCAAAAGCAGTCGTTTCTTAGCCGTCTTTCTCCTCCTAATGTTCCCCTTAAAGTTTAAAAACCTTTGTCATAGTTATTTAAAGTCATATAATAAAGTTTTTCACTTATTATTTTATCCTCAGATAAAATACAGTGCCTGGCATGCAGAGATGCTTTTTCAAAAGACTGTGTGAATGAGCAGGTGAAGGTAGGAATGAATGAGTGTTGAGCCCTTCATTCTGCAAATACTCGTGAGCATCTCCTGTATGCCAGGCTCTCCTCTCGTCATGGAGGATGTGTCATCACACAAAACAGTGACTTTCTCCCATGTGGCAGTCACCTTCCTGCAAGGGAAACAGAAACTGGGCAAGAAAGAATGCATTGTAGCTGTTTTAGGTAGTGGTAAATTCTTTGTAAGAGGATCACAGACACATCTCAGAGCCAGTGCAGAAGTGAGTTTGGGTGCCTGGCCAGGTTGACACACAGAGGTGGCCTATGCAGTGGCTGGAGCAGGCTTAGCAAAGGAGGCAGGAGGAGGCGAAGGAACCCCAGGCACAGGGGGAGGGGAGGGACTGCAGTCATCCGGCACCAGTAGAGGACACTTTCCAGCAGCAGCAGGAAGCCTTCAGAGTGTTTGTAAAGGCCTGGGAATGATGAGATCAGATCAACAATTTGAACCTCACTCCTTTGGATAAATGAGTGAATCTTCTATTGGTCTTTCTTAGGGTGTTCAGTGAATCTCCTTTGATAACCACAGAATAAACTTGGGGTAGTTATTTATTGTTTCTTAAGATGACTCATTTTTAAATGTGAGTTTTCTGTCTTTAGGAAGAAGAGTTGAGGAAAAGTGGAGAAGCAAAGTACTTTCACCTCAATGATGACCTCCACGTACTCATCGAAGTGTTTGCACCGCCAGCAGAAGCTTATGCCCGAATGGGGCATGCTTTGGAAGAAATCAAAAAGTTTCTTATCCCTGTTAGTATATTTTTTCTTTCTTCTGTGTTTTGTTTTGTTTTGTTTTTGTTTTCCATTTATTCATTTATTTCATGAGAAAGAAAGAGAGAAATAAACGGCATCCTCAGCAGGTTCTCATACCGTGGTCTATCGTGGCCTCCTAGCCACTGGATCTGGATCACAGGCTTATGCCCCCTGGTACACTCAGGTCAACCAGGAGCCAGACCTTGATCTTCAGGTGGCGTCCAGCATTACGGAACATTGTGCTGCCATTGCACTGCCACTACTAGACCAGGATTTTCATTTTGGTAATTAACTTGGAACATTATGACCCTTCCTTTATTTTAATCCTTGATAATTCTTGTTAGTAATTGTTATTTGCATTATTCTTTGTTAAGAAATTTCATATGTGTCATCTCAAGTAGTCCTCACAGTGTCCCTGTGAATTGCTTGGTGCCATTCCTTCTTTATATTTGAGAGATTAAATAAATGGCTCAGGTTACATGGCAGGAGTAGCAGAAGAGCACAGGCCCTAGTCCAGAGGTCAGCACGCCGTGTCCTGAGCTTTCATGTGGCACAGAAGACACTCCACAACTTCATTGTTCTCCAGGACAGACCTGTCCCAGGCTCTGTGCTTGGTGTGGGACATGCACACATGAGCAAAAGCTGTCCCTATGCTTCAGGAATATGTAGTTTAGGGGAAAAGAAAAGCATCCGCAGATGATTTTAGTGCAGCATGATGAAAATAATGACAGACACAACCATGACATACATAGAGGGGAATGGTGCCATGCAGCTATTCAGCTAGCTTCTGCCAGGTGTTTTACTAACAGTTAATTGTCTGTTTTAACCCTTCCAGACACTGTACCATTGCTAAGAAGGTAATAATTTAAAGAGAAGGGGAATAAATCTATTATAGAACGGTCTTTTTGTTAATTTGCATGCTCTTGATAGAAAGATTTGTGACCCACCCTGGTGGCACAGTGGGTAACAACTGAATTCCATCCAGTGCTGGAAGCCACCTGACCGACTGGGTTTGGATTTGCAGAACAGCTTGTGAATAACGCGTGCACATGTGCCCAAGATACTGAGGAGCTAGAGGGCCAGGGAAAGGGGACTGTGGTGTGACAAGACCCTGTTGAATTTGAATCTGTCTCAGCCCCTTGTCCTCGCTTGCACACATGTGTGCATGCATGCTTTACCATAAATAAGTCAGCATTTTAAAAACACAGACGCTATCAGAACTTATTCTTCCTAACTTTGTACCTGTTGACCGACCTCTCCTTATCCCTCTGATCTCCTACCCTTTCCAGTCTCCAGTAAATTCTATTTTATTCTATATTCTACGACAGCCACTTTTTAAAATTTCTCATATCTAAGAAATGAGTGGGATAATCTGGTATTTGTCTTTCTGTGCCTGGCTTATTTCACTTACCATAATGTCCTCTAGATATATCTGAGTTGCTTGTGTTTGTCAGAAAGAGAAAGGCGGGAGAGAAAGAGAGAGAGAGAGCAAGCAAGAAATCGCCTCCCCCTCACCCTCTGTAGGGAATATCCCACCATAGTCTCTTCCCTGTTTCTCCCCTTTCAAGATCTTGGGCATGCACACATAGGTGCCCAGCATGTTTTTCAAGCCACCTGGTCTAGGACTTTACCATGTATTTGACCACATAGGATCCATCAACTTTAACTGCTATGCCACTAGCTGACTCTATTTTTAATTAAGAGAACCTCCATCTTGTTATTCATAATGGCTATATTTATATTTCTACCAGCAGTGTGAAAGGGTTTCTTTTCCACATCTTTGCTAGTATGTATGTATGTATGTATATATATGTGTATTTATATATATATTGTTTTTTTTTTTTTTTTGTCTTTTTGGTAACAACCACGTTAACTGGGTGAGTGATGTCTTATGGTGGTTTTGATTTGCATCATTGTTCAGGTAAGGAGTTAAAATAATAATTTGACATGCAAAATTATAATAGTCTGTAAGCTACCATGTATGAATTGGTTTCAGTGGTAACTACATCGATTATATCAGTATTGTCCATCTGAGAGCTGAGCTGACAGACATCTAAAATTTTCAAAAATTCTTATATTATATAGCTAGTAAGTTTATTTGGTGAAGTTCATGCTGACCCTCAGTTGTGATTGACTTTAAGTTCCGTTGTTTTGTTTTGTTTTGTTTTTTAAACTGTACTGTCTATTTTAAAATACTATTTTGCAAAAATGATATTTAATTATATATTTTTTAATATCATTATAATCACCTAACCTTACTTAGAGCAGTATTCCTATTTTAAAAATTTTAATTTTTTTTTAAAAATAGGACTTTAGCAGTGTTCTTGTCTCATGAAAACCACTTATATCCACATAAAATGTAGTATCACATCTTCAAATGCTATTCAAAAGGACAACTATTTAGCATTTATGTAGTTCAGGGACCAGCGGGTGGCGTGGTGGTTAAGGCGCTGGACACTCCCACATGGACAACTGGTGTTCGAGTCCTGGACCTGGTGGCTGGCTTTCTCACTTCCTCTCTCTCTCACTCTCACTGTCTGTCTCTCTCTGGTCAAATTAAAAAAATCAATGAATAAATAAAAAATAAATAATTATTAAAAAATTGCATTTACGTAGTTCATTTTACTGAGAATGTACTCTAGAAATGATTAATCTTTGTATATTTTTAGTAAAGTGGTTGGAAAAATATTAATAGCATAATTTGACAAGATGAAATGGTGATACATTCAAGCATCACTGAGGTCATAGCACCTCAGATAAGTCAGTGAAGAATCTTTAATTACAGAAAAATATAAACCCGTATGTTTACCGTAAAATATATACTGCTTAGCTTTTCCTATTAATCACATTGACTTGTATTGGCTGTCATTTGACTTTCCTCCTTCCTGCTTTGCCAGTATTAGGTGATTGTAATTTCAGATTCCTTTTTGATTGCTGTTCCTATTACTTTTCTTATTACAAATTTCCTCTACTACAAGTTTAAGTTGTGGGGTTTTTTTGTTTGCTTTTGCATTTTTCTTTTGAAATGTAAATAATAAACAGTTGGCTTTTTAAAAATAAATTTACTAGATTTATTTTATATTTTAAACTATAAATAGTTGAAGAAACAGTCTCCTCTGAATCTTTGAGTCACACTCAAATATGTATATGTTTCTTCAATCTTACAATCCTTCCTTTCTTCATACTAAGGTCTCTTCTCTCTTTGTAGCTGTATAGCTAAAAACAAACAAACAAAAGCAAAACAAAACAAAATTCCCTTTGCTCTACCTGTGTACAAATCTTGCTTTTATTTTGTTAATTTATTTCTAAGAAAGTTGTCCTTTTTAATGCTACTGTAAATGTATTTGTTGATTTGTTTTTGGATTATTCATTGTTAGTGACTTTCGCCTATTTATCTTATACCCCGCAACCTTGCTAAGTACATATATTAGCTCTATTACTTTTTTTTTATATAATGGATTTCTTAGGATTTTCCATGTACAGGTTCAATGTCATCTGTGAACAGAATGTTCTAGTAATTCCTTTCCTTCCTGGGTGCCATTTATTTATTTTTTGTTACACAAGTGTCTTGGCCCAAGTAAAGTGTTAAACAGAGATAGTGACAGCAGACATCCTTGTCTTGTTCCTGATGTGGTCTCTCACTCTTCAATAAATATGATGTTAGGTGAAGTATGGGCAGTCTGTGGAACTGACTGGGAAATTATCCATGCCCTCTAAGTAATCTAATTTGTTGGTGTGTACTTTGTCATAGTATTTTCTGAGTTTATTGAACATTTTTATCATTAGTGTGTAGGAGCCTTCTGTCAAATGTTTTTTCTCCTTTTTATTGAAATGATCATGAGATTTCTGTCTTTTGTTATTCTATTGCATTCATTGATTTCCAGCCTTGCGGTCTTGGAATAAGTTCTGCTAGGTTCCTGTGTATACACTTAGCTGCTGGTTTTGGCTTCTTAATTTTGTCGGCAGCCTTCAGGTCCCTATCAGTAAGGACGTTTGTAGCTTTCATATTTTATGATGTCTTTGTTCGACTTTGGTATCAGGGAAATGCTAACCCCATAGAATGAGTTAAGAAGTGTTTCTTGCTCCTAACTTTTTTTTAAGAGTTTGTGAAATATTAGCAGTAATTCCTTATTTGTTTGTGTTTGGTGTAGAGTACATCATTGGAATCCTGTGGACGTAGGCTTTTCTTTGTAGGAAATTTTTGAGACTAAAACTTTCCACACGGCACTTCGGACACTAAATGTGTGGAATCCTCTCCTCACTCAGCCTCACACCAACGTAGTCTCCGCTTTCTTGGCAACAGCTGGCTGTTCTACAGTGCCTTACAATGAGGACACTAAGTATCTGCAGTCCATGTCACACCTCACTGATTGGGGATTCAGTTCCATAGACTGCCTGTACCTCAGGTGCCAGTCCTGAGCCTCCTCTAGTTCTGACCAACTCGACCACAGATCACAGGCTCTTAGAACCCTCTCCTTGGGTTTGATAATTTCCTGTGACAGCTCACAGAACTCAGGGAAAAGCTTTACTTACAATTGCTGGCCTATCATAAAAGATAATATAAAGAAACGGGAATAGCCAGATAAAGAGGTATTTAGGTCAAAGTGTGCAAGGATCCCGAGAGAAGGAGCTTCTGTTCTATGAAGTTGGGGTATGCCAACATGTGGCTGCATTTTTGTGTGTTGTGTTTTCATTTTCATTCATCTCAGGATCTTTTAAATTTTTTTTGTGGTTTCTGTTTTGATCTAATGATTTTTTAATTATATTCTTTAATTTCTACATATTTGTGAATTCCCCAAATTTTTCTCTAACTTCTAATTTATTCTATTGTGATAAATATGTATGATTTTAGCCCTATTAGAATTACTGAAGCTGTGTAGTACCTTAGCATATGGTCTATCCTCAAACATGTTCCATGTACACTTGAGAAGCAGTTGTGTTTTGGAGTGTAGCATTTTATCAATCCCTGCTTACAGTTTTATGTCTTTTTTTCATTT